ATTCCCTAAAGGAATAAGAAATTGAATTTCATGCATATATTACCAAAGAATAAGAAAAAAAGGAAACATAAACAATAAAACACGAGAAAATAAACTATAAATTTTGAGAATCCTAATAGATGTATTACCGAAATCAGTGAATCTCCTATTGTGTGCATGAAGTCAGCATATTCAGCCCCTGATTTTGTCTTATGAAGCTACAACACAATGGCCTCTGTATAACCATCCCTTAAAATGCAAGAAAAGTTATTAGAATCCAACAAATAATTTTAATTTCCCCTCTTTTTTTGAAATCAATTTTACAAACCCCTTTTTTAATTTTAGAAACCCAACTTCTTATTTTCAGCATGGAGAAAAATCTTGAGAAAAAAAAAGAAAGGCAAAGGGGAAAGGGAACTTACAGAAGAACATAATGAACAATGTCTTCAGAGCTACCATTTGATTCCATCAACCCAACTTGAAAACGAGAGAAGGTAAATTGCAATGCGATGGAGGTCTATCTTATGGAGATATAGAAAAGGTAAGTCAGAGAGAGAATACCGTGAATGGAGAGAAGGCAGAGCTATTTCGGACGTTGTCCCGAAGGGAAAAAAGATTTGTGAAGGGAAGAAGAAGGTGGGACAAAACTAATTTGAGGACGTAATGGGATTTTTCTTAGGGTTTTAGCGTATAAATTGGGATAATGTGGGTACGTGGTATTAGCGACGTTTTTCAAAAAAGGCCATTATATATCAGTTTATAGTGTTAGTTTTATACAAACGCCACTAAAGTACGAGTATCTAGTGGCGTTTGTACAAAAAACACCACTAAAGTTTAGCATTTTGTGGCGTTTTTATAACAAACTCCACTATTAATGAACCCTATTATGGTGTTTATCTAAAAATACCGCTAAAATACTCTTTATCGCGACGTTTGTTGGAAAAACGCCACTATAAATGAACCTTATTGCAGCGTTTATGCTAAAAATGCCGCTAAATTATTCTATCGCGGCGTTTGTTAAAGAAATGCCGCTAAATTTTCATTTTGCGACTTTTGGATTATAAACGCCGCTATATGTTTAAATTTTGTGGCGTTTACTCCCCAAACGCCGCTAAAAACGCCGCTATAGAACAAATTTGTTGTAGCGAATGATCTACAATAGTACATGCCCTCTAACTAAATCAATAAGTACTCTGATATCTTGACTTTACTAGAATATACAGTGACAATAACGCTCCTTAAACGACCCCCTAAGAACCTGTACATGGAAACACATTTCGAATGTTAAGCTTACGAGCTTAGTGCCTCACTAATAATTGTACTATACTACATGCATTCACTAAATATGCATGCTAGTGGCACGTGTATAAGGACATGAAAATACTAGTCTAACATGTTGATTTATGTGTCATGGTGCGATTGAGGGTTCTACATCTCAGAGCTCATACACCCCTCTAGCCTTTCTAAAATACCCTTGGGTATTTGGGTGAGATTCGAAGTTGCATCAGAAACGTACACCCGACCAACTTACTCCGTTGAGTCTTGGGGCATTTGCACCCAACTAACGGTTGAAGTGCCTTGACACTGACTGGGATATCCAACTGTATGCTCGTATTTGCCAAAGTAACTCGAGGGTCCCGAATGTTTGAGCATCAAATAAGTCTAGTTTTTATGTTATCCTAGTTGTTGTTGTTTCTAATATTTTGAGTTTATTACTGTTCTCATTTATAGTTTTATTTGCTGATATTATGATATTATTGGCCCCTCAAGTCTAATCCCTTAACCATTGGATTACTTATCTAAAATTGTCCACTGGTACCGATACTGACCCCTGAGTATCAATACTTACTGATTGATATATGTTGAAGGGGCTACTAATATTGATACTCTTGGATCTAGTATCGGTAATCTAGTATTGGGGCATCAATGTTAACTTGAGTATCGATATCAAAATTAGGTTTCATGTTTTGAAAAATAACTCAGTATCGACTACCCCTACTAAGAGTATCGATAATCTACCCTTAGTATTGATACTCCCATGAGTATCCTTACGAATTTGGCTACTGGAATCTGCTAAGTAGGTTTGGTATTGATACCACCCTACGAGTATAAAAAATTGGCTGACAATATCGATAATATATGGGTGAGTATCGATACTCTCATCTCAAAACTCTCTTGTTTTAAGTTGTTTGATAATCAATATCAATACTATTTTTCCAGTACCAAAACTCGTGCCCATAAATGCCTTGTTTTGGGAATGAAAAATGCTAATTTTCCTTCCCAAAATCCCTACTGAGTTTCCCAATTGTTATTAAAGTCTTATAAGGATTAAAAGGGATCATAATAGATCTCTTTTCATGCTGAAAAACATTAAAAGATGCAACTACCATGAACATGCTTAATAAGTCATGCAACCTACCGAAATATACTTAATGACCTACACGTGGTAGAGTTAAGGTAGAAGTGGGTTACCTTGATGTCCTAAGCTGCTGGAAAAAACCCAAGGTTCAACCAAGAGTGAGCTTCTTTCCCCTAGCTTTGGAGCTTTCTGTAACTTCTCTCACTAGTCAAGAATTAATCATAAGTATTACTAGCTGGATTTAAAGGTTTAGAAGGGTTTAAGAACATTTCCTAAGGCTTAAGCTTTCTAGAAATGAATTGAAACACTCAAGTTCCTTAAACCCTCACAAAACTCACTTTTGGCTATCTTAAAGAAAAGTAAAGATTAAGGGCTTGAAATGAAGTTTGAGATGAAATGATTATGATTCTGACCTTAACTTTCCCTTGCAATGCTTGGAAGTCTACAAAGTTTCTACCTTAGGCTTGAGGAAGAAGATGAAGAGAAGAGCTTGAGTTTTGGGAGAAAGAAAATGACAAAGAATAAGGGGAAAAAGAGACCAACATGTGACATATGCACTATTAAAAGATTTCAGCCTTTGAATTCAAAAATGTGTAAGTTGTTTCCTTGGTCCTTCAAGTTTTGTTTAATTCTCGACGATTCCCTTTAAAACCCAATTGGGCTTAACCCAAGCCCATTTTCACTCAACTTGGGTCAAGGCTTCCCTCAAGCAACGAAATTCATCTAAGACCCTCCCAGGTTAGCCTGGAACTACTAACCTGTGATTCGAGGCATTACAAAATTGGTCCGTTTGGTTCTAAAAATATATGCTATTTTCATTTTCTTGGAAAATAAAAAAGCTGGAAAAACGTGTTTGGTTGTAAATTAGAAAATGATTTCTAGAAAATGAAAACAAAAACAATTGAAAATATGAAAACACAAAAAAGATGTTTTCAGTGTTTTTATTAAAGTTATTTTGAAAAATTAGAAAATAGGAGAATATGAAATCTAGATTTTTAACTTAACTTATATGAGTTTGAATCCTTCTACATTTTTTTAAATTAATGGTATATGAACTCCTCAAACTTTTACAAAAAGACTTTGAACACCGTTGGTAAACATCAATAAGAGGTCTCTCCGTACTTTTGAATTATCTTTAGAGGTTTTGAATAACTGTAAAATATCTAAATAAATGTTTGAATGTTCATATCAAATAGTTAAAAATCTTTTAAATGTATGCTAATTTATAATCACTACATATTAATAAAAAAATAATTATTGAATTAACCTTTGAGTTTAAAGTGATAGATAGTTTAGTCATACTAATAAACAAAACCATGTCGGTAAACATTAATCATGACAAGGTTAACTATGCTGAATTTTGGAAATTAAAGGGAAAAAGATATAAGAGATACTGTAATTTTGAAGAAGAAAATCAAGATGATCCTAGTTTTTTTACTTTTAATGTAGTCTTCCAATTAAAAAAAATAAACCTAATGTGGTCCTTTGATCAACGTTTTTTTTATTGTTGACCGTTACAGTACTGCATGCTAGTTAACGGTGGTAACGTGGCGGTTCATGGTTTTGACACGACAATCCGTCTACCATGTTTGAATTACTAATTTAGTCAATTTGTCATGTCATCCACCACGTTAATCTCCCACCCTAGACTGTTATGTCAGCATTGTGAACTACCACATCAGCATTGTGAACTGCAGCATCAGACTGTGAACTGCCACATCAGCACCATAACGGTTAATAACGAAAAAATGTTGATCAAAGGGCCATATTGAGTTTATTTTATGAGTTAGAGGGCCACATTGAGAGAAAAATAATACGAGGGCCATATTGGTTTTTTTTTAAAAGTACAGGGACCTACGATGTTTTTTTGCCAAAATTAAATATTTTGTTAATGATAATATATCTTCAAATCTTACAAATTTAATATATAATTTAATTAACATTATTATTATTAGGGTAAGCTACACATTTTGTACTTAAATTATCAATTTAGTACCAAACTTTCATTTGTTTTAAAATCATATTTAACGTTTACTTCTTGTTTCGTTTTAGTATCTTACTGTTAAAAACTTGATGAAACTATTGAACGTGACATTTTTTTTATGGGTAAATTGCATCATTCATCACTCAACTATTTTCTCACTCCTATTTTGGTCACTAAAATTTATTTTTTTAATTTAATTACTTAACTTTCAAATTAGTCATAATCGAATAACTCAAACTCTCAAAATTAATCTTTTTATTTTAATTATAAATTAAGAAAATAATAACAAAAACTGCCATGTTACAAAAGCTATTAATAAAATAAATTAGAGTGATCAAAATATGAGCGATTTAAAAGTTGAGTAATTAAATTGAAAATTTTTAAACTTTAATGATCAAAATAGGAGCGAGAAAATAATTGAGTGATGAATGATGTAATTTACACACACAAAATGCAGTACGACGGGATACTAAAATGAAACAAAAAACGAAGGTTATGTATGGTTTTGAAACAAATGAAATTTTCGGTATTAAAATGAAATAAAATAATAGTTTAGATACTAAACTTGTAGTTTACCCTTATTATTATTTGAATAACCTGAAAACACGGGAAAGATGCAAGTAATCTTTCTCCACTGTCAAAGTTTAGGAAAGTTTTCAGAGAAAATGAGGAAAACAGAAGTTGATAATAATGAACATGGTTTCGTACAGGAAGCCAACGGCGATCGCATCCAAAAGATGCAAAACAAAAAAATAGTCCTAAGGATTCAAATTCCAAGAAGACTCGTATAAATCATTTCCTACACTAAACATTCAGCAGAGGGCGGCGGCCGGACGGTCGGCAGGGGGATTAGAGTGGACATTTCCCACTTACAAATACAATACATCACTAATTTTACAAAACAAAAGCTTTCATTCCTTAGCCAAAGGACTCTAGTTTTTTGAAACTGTACAAAAAATCGCCTTGATTCACCATGCTTTTCAACCTCAATCAGTCATTTTCTTTCCATATACGGCCTGTTACCCTCAACTTCAGCTCTTGCCTATCGCCACCGGAAAAGTATAGAGCTAGGTTCCTTTGTATCACCAGTCCATCCTGACTGTCACGAACTTTCCTATGACTATCGCGGATGCTCCTGGGAATGCCTTGCCATATTAGTTTCCGGCCGTTGGCACCAACTTCCAGACTATAACTGAACTTTTTTGCTTCATTATCGTCACCCATAAAACGTAAAAAGGCCATGTAGACAGGTGCCATCCCAAGCTGGAAAGCTTCGAAATGCAAGCAGAACTGTCTTCCAAAACAATTAAAAACCTACACAAAATATCAGAATTCAAAAAACAGAAGTCGAAAAAATCCTTTCATAAGCATATGGTTTGCAGTTTCAAGAGATTTTAACACACAAACAACAAATGCAAAAGTGAAGCATAGAACACTTGATTTATATGTGTTGTAGCATAAAATGAACTCACAGTAAGCATCCATGTGGCATTTTCAACTTCGTGTGGATTTGATTTGACATATCGATGGTTGAAGGTACATCCATCATGCATGTCGACCTTGTGATCATCCATGAGATGAGCAACGAGGGTCGGTATGTCACCAGTGACAGAGCACTCAGACCCAGCATAAGGGCAATTGTAGGGATGGAATCGACAGTGTTGCTCATGCTTAAGCTTGCTGTAATAGGGGAAGATATCGTGGCAACCTAGATTCTGGTATTTACAAGGGAGTTCCAAGGATTCTGCAACTTTCTCCAGAGCTAAACACCTTATATTTCCAAGATCATACCGGCATGTGGGGCAACAGTTGCGCACTCTAATCTTGCAGTTGGAACATAAAGTGTGTCCATTTGGACACTGAAATAGAAGATTGAATGCAACATATCAACATTTTGAATGAAAAAACAAAATGCTACTACAAAACTATATCTTTACAGAAGAGCCAAAAAAAGTGTTATGCATGGAGAACAAACCTGGTGAATTGGTGGATACATCAAATTTGTACATACAGGACACTCAAGGAGCTCGTAAACATCGTTGCTTGAATGAATTCCATTTTTTCCAACATAACTAACAGCATTTTTCATCGTTGTAGTATTATTCTCATATTTTGTAGCAGCAGTGCCATAATCTGCAACAGGGGAATGAGATTCAACAACTTCTTTCCAAGCACTGCCTCTAGAAGCCATTGCTACTCGAAACGTCAACTACTGCAATTATTTTATATTTATCTACTTTTAAGAGGCTTCACTCTCTATTTCCCTGTAATACAGGATAAAAGATAGATGTCAACAAGAAGAACATATTTTGAACATATCACTCTGAAAGCATATTCCTGAATCATATGCAGTAGAACATCCAGGAGAAAATAAGTCAAGCAAGGCGTAAAACAGGTAGTAGTTTGATAATCAGATCCAAAGAGATTATTTCATTGCTGGTGACTAAACTCCATGAAGAGCTCCTAACATCGTTCTTCGTATTGCAATAAAAACCAAAGATTTATCAGGTAGCATTTTCAATTGTACTCCATCAACGAAAAAATCTTATTATATCCCACCGAGGCAACTCAATATCCATGGAAATGATTGTACATAAATGTCATGTAAGAAGCCTTCTTCCTATTTATTATCTATTGATCTTCAAATTTCCGAAAGATGAAAACAAAGTTTAGATTCTTCCAAAACTGCAGTCAGTTAAACTAAAATATAAATAGCCAGAACAGATGAAAAGCAACATCCTAATACAAAATAACTATTTTCAATCTTTCCGGTTCTGAATTCCAACACGGGGAAGTAAATCCTACGAAAACAAGGTCAAATATTTTCCATGTTGGACATGTTCATCCAGCAGAAAAACAAGAAGCAAGTGCATAATAAGATGGATCAATCTTCCACCAAACTTGCATAATAACATGTTGGGCATGTTCATCCAGAAGAAAAACAATTCAGACACCATGCATAACAAGAACATGCATGCATTGAAATCGAATTCCTTCAATGAATGCGCTTATACCACAATTTGCTAATTCCTTTGAGAAACGCCATTATAACAATATTTGTTATATTTGAGGAAACGAAAGGAAGGGACAAAAATCAATTAGAACCCAGGTTTGCTAAAAACTACCCCACCTCAGAAAGCAAGAAACATTCCCAGATTTTTAGTGGAAAGAAACATTCCCAGATTTTTAGTGGAAATACTGTCTATTTCAATTAAATATAAAGCTGAATAATGCAGGAAAGAACTATCTTTAACCTTTTTATGCAAAATGAACATCAAAAGCAACCAATATACGAGACAAGAATAACATACAGAACAAAACTTCCTCCAATTACAATCGAATACACAATTTTGAATTGAATTTACACACCAAGGAAAATCAAAATCTTCAAATTTTATATGTTGTAAAGCAACCAGATAATGAGACAGGGAAACGTGAAAGAAAACAACTCTCCCAAACCCAATGAAAAATCCAACAAAGTTTTCCTCTTTTTCGATGCAACGTCAAACTAAGTTTGTCCAAAAACCAACTTTCCCATTTGGATTAATCAAAACATAATCACCAATGGAACAAAAGAAAAACACATTTTTTCAAGTTTCAAACGTTACAAATCGAAAGAAAAGACAAAACCCAAAAAAGAACAAACCCAAAGTGGAGGGAAAAGAATACCCAGTTGAGATTTCCAAGCTTAGCATCTTAACACATCATTAAAAAGCCACAATAAAATCTGGGTTGTGCTCAAAACAACGAACTAAATAAAAATAAAAAAACAAAGGGGAAAAAAGAAAACAAAAACGACAAAGTGCCAAAGGAGAGCGAAACTCACGGGTTTTAAACCAAATGCAAGGAAAACGAAGGAGAAAAAAATCAGAGAACTGTTTTCCATCAAATGGTGACCATGTTTTCACTTTGAAAATGCAAACGCAACGTCAAACGCGCATATGTATATATTGAATACACTATATTTTTGAGAATTTTGGCTCTTTCTATATGGGTTTCTTTGGAGGTAAGTGGACCGATGGCTGTAGGCGCACGCAACATTTCAACAAAAAAAATTAATTTATTTAACTTTTTACAGTCTCGTTGGCGTTTACTTTTTCATGTGAGGATGAGGTGAGTGGGTGATAATTTGAAATACTATAACTTGCTCCCCACATATAAATAAGAAAATGAAATTCAACTTTACCAATCAGATTAAAAGAACTTGCTCCCTTAAAATGGAAGAATTGCCCATCAGCCCCTTAAAACATTATAAAATTTTAAATTAGTTCAATGAAAAATTATATTTAATACTTTATCCAGTGATTATAAGATAGTATTTGTCTAGAATTTTCTTAGTCAATTGATAATGAACATGCACACATCATTCAGATACAATTACTTGCTATGTTGCACTGATACGAATTCAGGGACGAAAAACAAAAATTCCTAAAATTACAGGGTACGGGGATGACATATAAAAAAATAAATTATAAATAGATGTAAAAAATCATAAATAAAGTTAATATTTCAGATAAAACTAGAAAATAAAATCCATAAGTAAATTATAATATTAGAAAATAAAATTCATAAAGTCCTTACTTTATAAAAATTTGAAACCCTAATGTAGACACCCGTTTTTGACTGGGCTTAAATATATATATATGTTATTATAATAATTATTTTATTATTATCATTATTAATTATTATTAATTCTATTAATTTTTTTTTGCAGGCTCCACTACCCCACCATTATCTCAACTACACACCTACCCACCTACTCCACTACCACGTGCATCAGGGAGCAAATGGCGTGGATTCGGAGTGTTTGAAATTAGCTTTAAATAAGGGGGGAACTCGCACAAGAAAGGGGACAGAGAGAAAAACGTGGGGGACACAAACGAAAAAGGCAGGGGGAATGGAGGAGAAAGAACCCGGGGTGAACCGGGATGGCACCCACTTTTCTCAGCATCGTTTCCTTATACGGAACCTATCTCCGTAGTTGCCTTACAGCATCCGGCTCTCTTCTTCGGAATACCATCTTTGTTACTTCACCATTTTGAAACTTCGAATCGAAGTAACACCAACCAACAACAACCCTTGCCATATTTGAACCATAAATCATGGAGAAAAGGGGGAAGAGGAAAAGAACAAGGATCTAGATAAGCTTCTTGCATCATCGTCATCTCTTTTGAAGACACGTTTCAAAGTTTTGGATGAATAGTTGAATAGCGAGCTTTCATTTTTAGCTCTTCTTTTTTTGAGTGGACTGTATATTTCTTGAATTATGGAAGTGAGAGGTGAAGAAGACGATATTAAGACGCTAGTTCGAGATGGGAACCATAATGGTGCTGCTGTTCTTACTTGCACTCAAACCCTAGACCATGCTCATGGTCCGCAGAGGCAACAACAATCGTTCAGCCATACCGGAAGATCTCCAGTGTCGTCCGGCGTTGTCAGGTATCGAGAGTGTCTCAAGAACCACGCTGCCAGCATCGGTGGGAACATTTACGACGGGTGCGGCGAGCTCATGCCTAGCGGAGAAGAATGAACGATCGAAGCGTTGAAATGCGCCGTCTGAGACTGCCACCGCAACTTCCACCGCAAAGAGGTAGATGCGGCCTCAATTGCAGCGGGAAGGGCTCCATTCACCAACGGTCTCGGCTTGGAGAATATTAATGTAGTAACACAAAGGGGTTTCATTCCTGATGACGAAAGGATGCGAGTAATTGACGCAAATGGCAGTCTGGTTCCTCACTTGTACTTTATTGGTGATGCAAACGCCTGCTTCACTCACCCCGAAATAAGTATGGTTGGGTTGACAAAGCCTCAACCGAGGGAAAAAGCCGAGAGCGAAGGATTTGAAGTGAGTGTTGCCAAAACAAGTTTCAAGGCTAACACGAAGGCTCTGGCAGAAAATGAAGAGGAGGGACTTGCTAAGTTGATATACAGACCCGACAATGGTGAGATTCTCGGAGTTAATATATTTGGCTTGCAAGCAGCATACCTTATCCACGAGGAATCAAATGCCATGGCTTTAGGGACAAATGTCCAGGTTCACCATAATTTCCTGCCAACTATTATTGTTTTTTATTTTATTATTTTATTATTATTCATTATCTAACATTTTCGGCTCTTTTAGAAGAATTCCAATCGATCAAAGGTAATGAATTTGAATCGAATGTTTTAAATTTTAATTTTAATTTTAATTTTCGCAATTAAGACAATCGATAAATTAATTGGTACCGAAAGGGCGGTTCAAGGGTGCTAATCCTTCCTTGACCATAACCGACTCCCGAACCCGACACGTTTCTGGTACAACGCAGATAAGGTAAGATGGTGTCCGACCCACCTAAATTCGTTTTAAAATGGTCGGTGGCGACTCCCAATCCACATTTTCCTAAGTCGAAGCCCAATTCTGGGGCCCAACCAAAAGACGGTCGCGACAGATTGGCGACTCCACTGGGGACCGGTAAGTGAGTCAGGCCTAAATTAATTTCCGGTTGTCTTTTTTAGCGAAAATTACAAGTTTAAATTTTAATTTATTTATTCGATTCTTATTATTTATCTTTGATTATTTTTTTCAAATAAATAGTTGTACTAACGTTTTTTAATGATTTCAGATTTTTCAAAATTGTCATCTCTAGCTCTATACCCGAGCTCCGAACCCTTTTAAGTGGGGGTGAAAGCGACGCCTTCGTGTGAATTTATTCACCGTATGGGCCTAGCAAGTAACCTTTGGGATTCATATATCTTATGCCTTCGTGTGAATTTATTCTCCGTATGGGCATAAGGGAATGTATCATTCCGAGTTTAACTTAGTCCACACAAGCATGTGATGGGTTTAGGACTAAGGGTCTGGTAAGCCCAAGGGGGCACCGGAAAGGATAACTCGGGTACCTTTTTTTAGAACCTAAATCGGGAGACTACAAGGAGTTAGAGCCCACCCCAAAACCTCATTCCAAACCCTAGGATGCCGGAATTATTTCCTACTTTACTTTCTGTTCAAAGCATGTGAACTAGAAATTTATGCGGTTAGGACTTGTTCAAAATCAACTTGTGGGATAGAGATCATGTTCGGGTAGGAATAATAAGCATGTGAGGTAGATATCATGTGGGGTAGGACTTTTCATTTTCATCTTTTTTTTTTATTATTATCCTTATCTCACTAACTTTTTTTCTCCTTTCATTTTTGTTCTTTTGCATTTTTTTATCATTCACATCATTAAAACGAGGTGTTGATCCACAAAAAATGTGTTTGTTAAAACATGAATAATCTGTATTAATGGACAAAGGGGTTATAATACAAAGAGATAAAAAACGCAGAAGTCCAACCGTGGTCAAAGAATACTCAAAGGCAAAGTTGCAGGGGCAATACGAGGAAAAGGTCACTGACCTGGTCACTCCTTTCGAAAACTACAAGAACAAGATGGTGAAACCCTAGCTGAGCTGGATGCCATTGCTGACGAATTCAGGAAGCAAGCTTCGGATAGTTTCTCTCGATGGAGGGCTCCAATGACACTTTCGTTAGAAACAAGCTCGGTAGAAAGTGAAAGTCAGAGATGCAGTCATTCGAGACCTTTTTTGGGGCAAGCAGCTCATTATTTGGACATTTTAGCCAAATGAGCCGGAATGGTTCGACAGGATATTCAACCAGTGAAAAAGCGGAAGACGAATCAACTTGTCAGAGGCTGTGCGGGATCTATACCATCAAAAAGTTTTTTATCTCTTCAGACGTAACATTTTTGTCCCCAATAAGGATTATTCAGAATAATAGGCACATTTTTCGGATCAATGCCTCAGACATGTCATGCATCATGCATTTAAACATTTTGCATTTTGTTCATTTCTTTACATTCACATGTTTCATCAAAAATGAGAACATTTCGATCCTATGACCTACAAAGAGCTCTATAAATAACTTTTTGACACTCACATAGTGTCACCATATCCGGTGGAACCCACGAAGCCCCCATACCCCTAGTGGTATGATGAGAACGCTCATTTCGAATATCATGACAGTGTCCCAGGGCACACTATCGAGAATTACTCCACAATCAAGAGAATCATACATAAAATACGTAACAAGAATCGGATCGACTTCAACAACTTGGGGGCATCCAAGTGAGGAATATCATTTCATCATTTGAGGCATTCTGTTTGACTTTGTTTTTCTTCCATTTTTTCTCAAGTTTTTGTAAGAACATTTTAATCAAATTTATGTTACTTTAAAAGATGTTAAGCAATGGATCATATTTGCAAATTTGCAATTCTTTGCATATCATTTAAATTAAGAAACTCTGTAAACGATTCAAAGTTACGAATCTTTGACGAAGTAACATGATTTAAAAACGAGGACTTTGACCTTACCCAGAATATACACTCAAACACCATACCCTGCTCTTGCAATTAACCAATATAACATTTTCCTTTCATAAGGTGCAGATAACATGGGGCAACATTAGCATATGACAATTACTATGTTTTTTATTTAAGACGTTCAATGACGATGATGATCTTTACAAATGAAAGAGTCGAGTAGGTGAATCCAGTTTAGGTCAGTTGCTTGAAAATTGAGCTCTAAAAATGAAATTTTTTTACTTTTAACAACACCTAGACTATAACAGGTTCTTCTTGACAATCTTAAGAAATTAAATCCGTAAAAACTGAGCTATTCCGCTAAGGCAATTGGTTATAGAGGAAACTTGAAAGCCCTGGCCTTATGAGTAGATTACGTTCAAACCATGACATTGCTCGGACATTTGGCAATTCGGTGTTTGCTCCACTGCTCTTGTCAGGATGAAGACTCTGTGATGAGATGAACCCTTCAGTTAACTTGATAAGAGTGATTATAATATTAAGCTGTCCCTCTAAAGCAATTGGTTAAATACCCCGACTTTATGGATTCAGCTAGCCAGATAATAACAAGTTAAATCAAATTTATCTAAGCAAGAAATTTTCGGTAAAATTGACTAAGGGAGTTAAGGAACACCTGTTA